CAGTTACGGGCTATGCCCTGTATGCCCACGTCTGCGAGGCGGTGGTCCAGAAGATCATGATCGACCATGTCAAAGGCTGCTGACAAATCTAAAAGGATCAGCAGTCCTGACCCACCTCGATCCAGTTGTCTACGGAGATCATCTGTTAGGGCAACCAGAGCCGTCTCCGTCCCAAAACCAGGATGGAAACCAGACTGAAATGGATCTAATGCTGATGTTTCCTCCAGAAACCTACCAAGCTGTTCAGCAACCGCTCTCTATATTACCTTACCCAGGTATGGAAGATTTGAAACTGGGCGGTAATTGGATAGGTCTAAAGGATCTAATGAAGTTTTCTTTAAGAGTGGACACACCACTGCTTCCTTCAGTTCCCCTGGGAATGTCCCCGTGTCAAGGGACAAATTGATAATTTCAACCAGGGGGGTCCGCGCAACATCTGGACACTCCCTAATCAGCCAAGACGGGCACGGATCAAGGAGGCAGGTGGTGGGCCTACCAACTTGGAGGAATCTATCCACATCAGTAGGGAGTATCCGATCCAAATGGTCCAACACTGGACCTGAAGTCAGTCGAGGGGCCTCCAGTTCAGTCACTGTATCGGAATCTATCAGGATCCATCAGTTTTCGCCACCCGAGCTGGGGAGGAGCGGGAAGTCAATCTTGGCTTTCAGAACGTAGTGATCAGACCATGGCACTTCCACAGCGGGGAGCATGATCACATCTATGCCAGCCCCAAAGATCAGATCCAGCGTGTGGCCTGCTTGATGAGTGGGGCCCAAAACAAACAGGGAGAGCCCTAGTGTTGCCATGGAAGTCAGTAGGTCCAGAGCCTGTGAGGAGGGAGCGGCATCGGCATGGACGTTGAAGTCTCCCAAAACCAGTAGGTTTGGGAGCTCCAAGGCCCAGCCCGCCACCACCTCCAGCAGGTCTGACAGGGTGGCTGCAGGTGTGCTGGGTGGTCGGTACACCAGCCAGACAGCCAAGCTCTCCTTGGTGCCCCACACGAGACCAACATATTCAATACCGGAGATCACCGGTGATGGCAGAGCTCTGAAAGAGCAATCCTCCCAGAATAACAACGCTACTCCTCCCCCCCAACCCACAGTCCGCGATTGATGGAGGACAGAGAAACCTGGGGGTGTTATCTCATGTAGGGAGACTACTTCGCCTTCCCGTACCCAGGTCTCCGTCACGCAAGCCAGGTCAATCCCCTGCGAGACAAAAAAGTCACACATGGTGGCGGTTTTGTTGCCTATGGACCTGGCATTGCACAGCACCAATGACGGAGGTGTGTAATCCTTGCTCTCCCTACCCTCATCCCTTGGGATGGGCGTAGATTGGAAGGGGTTCGAGGATCACTGCATCTCGAAACCCTTCGCCGATAGAGATATCTAGCCCCACCGCCATTCCTCCCTAGCCCTTCAATTGTGGAAATCCCAGATCCCATACTAGCCTCCCCAATAGATGGGTAACATCCCCTCAATAACAAGTCATCCTTGGGCCAGGACTCCTGGGTCAAAATGGTATGGGAAAGAGGTGGAGGTCTGATAGGGTAAGAATCCCTAGAAGATAAAACCCAACCAACCACACCCCAAGCGGGGGGGACAGTCCCATGGTGTTTCATTAACTGTCAATCCCCCTCTCCCTCCTGGGTTAATTGGAGGATTGTTGGTTCTATCTGTGGCTGTGGAAGTATTAATGAGGTATGTGTTATAAAATGTGGATCACTGGCCAACAAAGAGCCAGATTCGAATTCGGAAGATCTGTCCATCCTGTCTCGCCAGGAGTACAGTAGAGAAGGCTGATCATTCTGATAAGTTTTTGGAACATTAGGCAAAGGTCCAGATGTAGATTTGGTGCTGGATATCTCCAGATTGTCAGCAACATAGAGTTCTTTAGGTGTTGTTGCCATAGAAATGTCGGAGGCGCCAAATTCCTCATCTAATTTGGTGTCGTTTGAAAAGGGAACAGGGAGTTGCACTGGTGTCTTTCTATGGGATAAAGAGCTGTTGGACGTCTTTAAATATTGTGCTCTAGGCTCTACTGTCCTTATATTTTGGGTAGAAATCTCAGTCTTTATACTCATTAGCCTCTTCTTCAGGTCTTGTAATTCTAGGCTTACAGAGTTCTTTTCTTCCTTCGGGCAATTAGTATTTCTAGTGTTGAGCTTGGTTTCCTTTATCCGCATTAGCTTTGACTCTATGCAAGGGACCAATTGCCTCCTAGTTTCGTCCTTAAATACCCTCACTGGGCGGAGAGAATGGAACCACCATAGGGTATCCTTTATCTCCATGAGTCGAGATGGGAGGGTTGATGACCTAAAGGTCATAAATAGTCGAGTGGTGTTTCTCAAGGTAGGCAGGAAGTGGAAATTTTCTAGATCTACATTTCGGTAATGGTAATTCAGGAGCTGAGACAAGGACATAGTAATTTGTCTGCGGTTCATCCACCTATGAGTGTATCGGTGAATCTCAAGCATTATCTGGTTCGTTTGCAAGACTTGACAGGACCTCACTTCATCCATAGTTTGAGTTGGTGAGTTGTTAACAGAGCCATTTCTTATCATCCTTTTAAGCCCTTGGGCATTTAAAGGGGAGGAACTAGTATCCAATTGTTTCTCAATGTTAACTATTCTGGTGAGGATTTCATCCAGTCTTTGGAGAACCAGAACCATAGTTTCTGCAGACAACATGCAAATCTCTTGGTAGGGGTGTGTATCCGGAATCGGTTGAAAGCAGGCTCCTCTGATATCTTGTTCTAGAGGCATGGATGGGTCAGCATTAGGAGTGGGAGGAATCCCTCCTGCTCCTGCTCTTGCCCTCTTGGACGGATTAGCTTTTTCTGGGAGGAGGGGGGTCGGGTCATTGCCATCCTCCTTAAGGGGGGGTGAGGTTCCCCCAACGTTGTTACTCACTGTTTGTTCTATTTGCTCCGTTTTCTCGGCTTCCTCAACCCGCTCCGTTTCTGAGCCAGGGCAGATGGCGTTGGCTCTCTGCCGATTCTTTGTTTTAGAGGAATTGTGAGTCTCAATAATGGTCTTCTGGCTCTTTGTACCTCGTTTTCTCCTTCCGGCAGGTATTCTCAATAAGGAAGTGACAGTTGGAGGAGTGTCACTCCAATGAGGAGTGACAGTTGGAGAACTAGGCCTCAAACCTTCCGGCCTAAAAGAGCAGGTTTTAGCAGGGAAAGCCACACCTCTCCTTGAACACACTCAGAGGTGGATATTTAAAGCCCAGCCCGGAAAGAACAGGGCAAAATTTAAGTATGGATAAGCCCTTAGATTTAAAAAGAAGGAGATGTTCCTGCCTCTCTCATGGCGTTCAACCCTTCTGGGCCGCCCTCCGAGGGACACTGGCCAATTGTATAGCTCCATAGATTCCTCACCTTACAAGTAGAAAAAAGTGCATTAGGGAGATGGTTTCTAAAGCTGAATAAGATGTGTACAAGAAGTCTATGACACAACCATGTGATTTCTCCCCTACTGCTTCCTGCTTTCTGTGAGATATTCCGGCAATCTCGTATCAAGAGGACAGATTTCCACACCCTCAGCAGAGATGCAGAGCTGAATCCTGATGATGATGATGATGATCACTTATCAGCTTCAAGGTGCAAAGTCATTATGAGATTAGACCAGGCATGTCCAATTGGCATCTGGCAAGCAATAGGAAAGAGAATTGCAGTTGTCTCTGAGGCAATTAAAGATCTTGAGGAAAAGATAAGAATCATCTGAGGAACAGTGAGACATATGGTGGAAGATTTGTGTTTTCCAATTTTTAGCTTATCTGAGCAAAACTCCAGAAAAAACTTATTAATGAAAAATGATGTAAGACTACTGTCCATAGGAATTAATGATGTACTAAATTATTGACCTAAACATTTTCAGGGTGAAAGTGTGTTATTTGCCAGCAGGGGTGCCAACTTGAATAAAGGATTGGGGGGACAGGTAAGCCCCACCCTGCATAACTGATCACATGATGTGGTGCATGCACACCATTTGAATGTCCCCCTCAAATATTTTTGGGTGGGGCGAAGGCCCCTCGGCCCCTAGAAGTTGGCTCCCATGTTTGCCAGCATCCTCCACCTTTCCCCACACCTTCTTTTCTCTCCTATTTGCAGTCTGATCCACCACTGCCTTGGTGCCATGGCCCTAGGTCCTGAGCCCCCAGAAGCAGGGTCACCAAGCAGTAGTAGCTCCAAGGAAGAGAGAGACCAGCTCCTCATCTCCAGCAGACCCACTGGCACCAGAATTCACACTGTCATTTAAACTTGGAGTTAGAGTTAAGGACTCTAAGGTTGCAGTACTGACTCCGGGATCAAGAAAGCCCTACAGAGTACCGGTATCTATGGAGCAAGTCTGCACAGCTCAAAGTCCCACCACCAACAGGCTCCAAAATACACTGACCCTTTGACTAACAGGCTGCAGCAACCAGAATATTAGGCTTTAGCCTGGATCCTGCAGACCACATCCTGCAGACAGTTGCAACAGGCCAGGGCTGAGACACTGTGCACCTTCCTGCTCTCCACTGCAGGGTTGCTGCCTGTGGCCCTGAAGCTCTGACTCCGCACCATTTGTCCCCACTTTGCTCCAGTTCAAAACTGGCTTGGGCAGTTCTGAGCCATCTTCCACCACCTTTTATGGACTCTTACTCCTGTGGGATGATGGAGATTGCTATGGATCAGGAGCCTTGGCTGAATTTCTCCACCCTGCCTGAAGATTTTTTTTCCCTTATCCAATTTCAGTTATTTCCCAGCCTTGGGATCTATCTGTTCTGGAGTAGAGCACTGTCATTTCTTAGCTCCCATCTCAGCCATTTCTGGTCTAATCTCTCTCTCCTTCTCTCTGCTGTTGAGTTGTAAATTCTCCCTTAGTTAGCAGTTGTATTCCTGGTAGTTTCGAGTTAGTTTTCCTTAGCGCTAATTATTCAGCTCCGATAGAGAAAGGGGCAGAGAAGCACTAACTACAGAGGAGCCTCTGCCTGGGGATGTTACTCCATCGCCATCTGGGCTCCTTCCTTTTCTTCCATATTATGTGATCCTATTCTATTAGAAATCACATTTCACAGTGTCTCTTGGAGAGCATAGCATGGTGCTGGGGAATGGTGGTTTGGCACACTATTTTCCCACTATAACACCACCCCCACCACCCAGCCTATGTTCATATTGTAAAGAGAAATGTACTTTCTTGGAATTTAGGATAAACAGGAAGTAAATGAGCATAACTGGTCCTTTCATTCTTGCCTGACAGCTCCGTATCTTGTGCCACATTAAATGTGAAGAGAAGAAAGTGCTGTAATATTGTATATCCCTTAGCAAAGACAAAATATATTGCCAGCTGATGTGTACCCAAGAAGAACCAAACCATCTGGCACCTCAGTCAGAGTTGTTGCTGAAATGTGCATTTCCTGGCTCAAAAATGCAAATATTGGATGGCTCATGATCAGGATTGGCTCAAGACACTTTGCTGCCTGAGACAAAGGATAAGACAGAGCCCTCCCCCAAGGCTCATACAGAAGCCAGTTGGATTGGCAGTTGAATCTTACTTCAATACTGGTGAAAAGAAAGTATAGTGGTACCTTGGTTCTCAAACTTAATCCGTTCTGGGATTCCATTTGACTCCTGAAACCATTCAAGAACCAAGGCGCGGCTTCCAATTGGCTGCAGGAGCTTCCTGCACTCAATTGGAAGCCGTGTTGGATGTTTGGCTTCTGAAAAACGTTCACAAAGCAGAACACTCACTTCCGGATTTGCGGCATTCAGAAGCTGAACTGTTCGACAACTAAGCCGTTCAAGAACCAAGGTTCCACTGTATCTTCCACTGCCCTTGAGGGCAGCAGTCTAGCAAGGAGGCACAGGGCAAGCCACATGGCACTCACAGCTCTGTCCCCACCCCCCAACATCTACCGCCTGGGACAGCTGCCTCACTCTGTCTCATCATAGGGCCAGCCTTGCTTAGGGTGGTTGCCTCAAATACACAGTGAATATTATGGTCCACAAAGTCCTTCTCTGACTTGAAGAGAAACTTAAGCCATGTCTGCTGCCATGCGCCTCAGCAGAAGGGTGGGATAAAGCCCACATTCAGTATTCGGTCCTCACTAAGCATGCTCAGTTCTCATTGGTCTGTTCTGAGCTCCCCCCTTGGGGATATTTTCCTTTCCTTTCTTTTTGGGGTAGTTCTGCTGATCTTGAGGTTCACCTGAGCTTGCTGGTTCCTCCCTCTTGTGGTGCTTGGCTACATTCAGTGCCTCAGCACCAGAAATAGAGAGGGTGAGATTTCAGTTTGGCAATACATCAATATATAGAGAAGGAGATAGGGTGACAGGTCTTCAAGTACAAACCCATAATTGTCAGAAATAATAAGCTACAGATTGAGAGAGAAAAAGATTACTGGAGTCCTGTGAAAGTAACAGCAGAATGAGAGGAGGTGGAGAAATGAAAGTAGATTACAGAATTAATCCGAATTTCCACACACACACACACATGTTTAGTGTGTGGGTACTTGGTCCATATGGCCAATCTTGTTTTGGCTACATGTATCTCTTTCCTAGAAGCTCACAGCATTGTTTCTGGGACTTTTGTACAGTCACTATACTCCACCATGATGAGCGTCATTTGGTCAAACTGAGGATGAGCAAATCCAGAATTTTTTGTTTCTCTGTTTCTCATTTGTCCAATCTTAATATTGGTTCTCCACATTTCCATGTCAGTTTGCAAATATTTGGGTTTTCTTAAGTCCTCAATGAAAATTCATTTTGTCTTATATACATTTTTGCAAAGCAATTTCCCCGAATCTATTGCATGTTTCTATGTTATTTTCTTGATCAAGGGCATTGTGAAGAAGATTTTGTTATCTCCCAGATGTGAACCTTGAGGGTGGTCCAGCAACACTTCTTGGCCTGCATGCCAGCTCCCTTGCACAGCACAGCTTAAGTGTTGAAAGGATCAAGTTGCCCACGGCTGATGGCAATAAAACACTCATGGAAGCAGTGAAGCTCAGTCAGGCATTGTTTACTTGAAAGGTAGTATCAGTCTTGATGGTAGAAAACTATTTACTACCACACAGATAGTAAGGCGCCCTTCAATCCTACATGCTGCCTGCACACAGCTCAGCAGTCTCTCGCCTGTAGGAATCGCGCAAGGCCATAGCTAAGTGCTCCACACTTACTGCTGCTGTAGACTAAACAATCTTGCATGATGCTTCAAGAATCTTCTCACAGTTTCTGGAGACGAATGGTTCTTTCTCACTTTAACACATTGCTATGAATGCTTTACCCTGGTATATGCATGTTTGTACAAATTACGTAGTTGGAAAACTGCATTACAAAATTTGGGAAAGTGCACATTTTGAAGAGGGGCTGCATTTGAGTTCATGCTATTGTTTCAGAAAGTACAAGTTAGGTAAGTTTGCATTCAAATAGGAACTGAATGGACTTTCTCCACCAGCGCTAGTTCAAACACCCCCATTGAAGCAAATGGGTGTAAATGATGTGTGGAAGCTGCTTAATTCCAATCTCCTATCTACCCATTTCATCCGCACAATGCGTTTTTTACACACTTCTATCAAGCACAGGAGATAATCTCACTCTGCTAAACAACTGCTTCATAGATAACACACCCACCTCCTAAAATTCCCTTTATGCAGGGGTGCAAGAGGTGAGAGAGGAGAGAAGTGGTGGGCAGGAATATATTACTATTTGCAGCAAGTGTTATTGTAATGGTATTGGAAATACATGAAAGGTCTGGAATCTCATACTTGTTGAGAAACTCATGAATAAATTTAGGATGGTGCAAGTTATAAAATAAAAGGACTCATTTGCAGACGTAAATAAAAGAGAGAAAAAGAGAAGCAGCACCCGTGTAGAAGGGAAAGTATAAAGGGGGGGTGACCCAAAACTGTATACTTTACAAAGTTGTTATTGTACTTCACCAGATCTTAACCTCCTTCAGTATTTGTAAGAATGGATTCCAAATATCACTGAATTTGTCCACGACAAATCTGCGTTCATATGTTGTGAGTTTGTATAAGGCTTCAATCTAATCGTAGAAGGGGGCCACATTTTTATTTTCCCAATTCATCAGTCATTTATTTTCCCAATTCATCAGTCATTTATTTTCCCAATTCATCAGTCATTTATTTTCCCAATTCATCAGACCACAATGTTGTGGTCAGGGCACGGAGAGTCCACGTATCGTCATATATGCCCAGCACAGGTTCCATGTGCTAGGCATATCATTCAAAAGGATATTTTGATTTGTAAATGTAAGGTAAATGTACAGTTCTGTTGTTTCAGCTACCTTCTGCCAAAAATCTTTCGATATAGGACAATGAAAAAACCAAACGTTTTAGAGAAGCATCATCCATGTTGCATCTTAAACAGATACCTTAGATAGCCCTTTTAAAAATGAACGTTATGGGGTCCAGTAATTCTAAAAAAAAAAAATTTGTATTAGCCTCAATTTAAGGACCAGAGACACTCTTATTATAGCACTTAAAACAGTTTCCCACTGCATGGTCAAAATGATCTCTAATTCTTTATTCCTCCCTCAATACCTGTACAGTATATCAAATTGGTTCACTAGTAACAAAGATTTATATATGTTGATGGCCTTTTATTCTCCTTCCTTTTTTTTTTTTGCGTAGGAATTAATAAACTGCTTCAATATCTCTGGGGTCTTTGAGGCCGTAAAAGCTCCTATAGTAAGGTTAAAGCTTACTGGGAAATGATATATAATGAATTGAAAAAGATGTACGATGTTTGTAAAAGAAAACCAGAAGCTTTCCTTTTGGGAATTATAGGGAAAGAACAACCCAAACTGTACAGTGGTACCTCGGGTTACATACGCTTCAGGTTACAGACTCTGCTAACCCAGAAATAGTGCTTCAGGTTAAGAACTTTGCTTCACGATAAGAACAGAAATCGTGCTCCGGCGGCGTGGCGGCAGCAGGAGGCCCCATTAGCTAAAGTGGTGCTTCAGGTTAAGAACAGTTTCAGGTTAAGTTCGGACCTCCAGAACGAATTACGTACTTAACCCGAGGTACCACTGTATAGAAATTCCTTCTATTTTTTGGAATCTCAGCCCTTTCACATTTAAACTAACTAACTTCATGTCGTATATTATTAATTTCCTTCTGGCCCCTCTTATTTTGGTCATAAATCCAATATTCCTTGTTACAAGGTTTCTTGCATATGATACATATATATAACCTGCCATTCATATATCTCATATACAATTTGGCTTTGTATACAATAATAGTCATAACCAAGCAATCTCATTATTATTGTTGTTGAAGGGGGGGGGGAATAAAGAATAGAAAAGTGAAGACAAAAAACAGAACAACCATAAGAAGAGACAAAGAAAAGTCCCCTACCACATTAATGTTACATAACGAAAACAAAAAACAGATTATCCAACTTAACCAGTTTTGAAAATATAAGAAAAATAAAAAGAGAAAAAGGAATCCAAATAGAAAAAGAAATACCATGCCCTGCTGAGTGGGCTGAGCTTGCAGTTTCCTCCTCCTCCTTTCCTATCCGCTTGACTCTGACTTGCTAATATTTTTATTCAAAAAGGGGTGGTGATTTTTGCTGCTTCACGTCGATAAACAGGTGATATGAAACATTCTCTTGTTGCTTTTCACTGCTGTTTACACTCCAATCTCTTGGCGGAGCACCAGACTGGCAAAATAATATCTTCAACAGTGTATCCTCTGTAGTTAGTTAAGCTTCGGTCCCAGGGTGTTCACCGATTTTAGTGAGGAATGCCTCTACAAAATCCGGCTGGTCGAGTTTGTGAGTTTGACCTGAATATTGAAAACAAAACTTTGCCAGGAACTGAATGTAGTATTTCATGTTCTTTGCCTTAGCAAGTGCTTTTGCTTAAACAAATTTAGAGCGTCCTTGAATCACATCCTTGGAAAAGTCTGGAGAGAAATATTCATCTCTATCTCTAACTTGAACACACACTAACTTGACAATTACTGTATTTGAGGGAGCCTCCATCCTTCGCCCTTTCACTGGGATTTTGAAAACGTGTTCTATGTCAAATTGACTTTGAACGGGCAGAGAGAGCACCTCTTTGAATACCTGTTGCAGGTAGTCTGCCAGATCTATTTGGCTTGACTGGTTTTCAAGGCTGAAATTTTCAGGTTCTTTCATCTTTGCTGAGATTCAAAATTGTTAAGGCAACAATGAAGAGTACTGTGAGAGGATTTAAAATGTCTCAAATGAGTCCAATCTGCCTTCACACTTTGCCAATTTGTTACTCTACAAAACTCATTTGTTAGAGTTTTCAGCTGGACTTGTATATGGTTTAGGGTTTGAAGCTGGGCCAGGATATTTGGTAAAATAGCTGTATTTGGGTCTGCCTGTTTATGCTTGGTAGCCTCTGAGCTTCTTCTTCTTTTGTATCAGCCGTGTTTCCACCCCCAGCTTCTGCCACTTTTCTTCCTTCAGCAGCTCTCCTCTTGGTAGACATGGTTATTTATCTTAATTAGTCTTGTAAAGAGACAGTAGAAAGTTTATTTACCCTTTGATGTTAATCTTTTGGCGGAGCTGCTTTCCCAAGCTTTTTGGTTGGAGAGATCAGAAGGACGTCCCTCACGGCTCCATTCCCAGACCAGGAATTTCATCTCTTAAGGAAGGTGGCGGAGGAAATTTTCCGTTTCCATTTTCAGTGTGTTTGGCGGCAAAGAGAAACCTCATGGCCAATTGGGAGGACAAATGCTGTTATTATTTATTAGACTTAGATGCTTGCTACATAGAGGTTTCCAAGCAACCAATGTATTTTTAAAATAAACATAAATTCAATGTAATATTGACACATGCATTAAAAAATAATGCAGTTCAAAAAATATATATGTATAAGATGTGTCAAGGAAGCAGGGAGAACAGGATGGTGTGTGTGTGTGAATAATGGAGACAGCGTTGTGGTGAGGGGCAGGGCGATTTCCCCCATAGCCCTTTGCTTTCAGTTTTGAACCTTCAGTAAAACTACTTGTAGCTCATAAGAGAAGTCATGGTACAAACAGACATGCATCTTTTATTAGAGCCATATATTGCAAATCTTACTTTCAAATGTTAAAAAGAAACAACCATGTATCAGACCTCCATAAATTGCAAAATATGAATTTAAACTTTACAAGAGTGAAAAACATTCTGCACTAACTACCTGCCTTTGGATTCATTAGCATATTTGCTGTCAGAAGCAAACCACGAGGGCCAGACACTTGCATTATCTTTAAGCGAACATTTGCGTTCTTGGGATTTGAGCTTGCAAGCCACACCAAATAAATTGCTCAGAGGGCCGGCTGTTGCAAGCTCCCTGCTACCTCCAAATCCCCTTTCTGGAGCCTTTCCTCATCACCTGTCTGCTGCATCCCACCAAGCTTCCAGTCCTCTGCATCCCATCTGCTCTTTTCCATTTCCTTTCTCTTTGGCAAGCCAGAAAGATTTCCAACCATTCGCTCTGTGCTTTATGTGAATAAAAAACCTTTTGGGTCTGCTGCTTTCTAAAGTAGATTTACCTTCAATCACCATTTATTAAATCTCCATCCATTAGAAACCATCGCTTGCAAGAACTGTGTGCATTAAGCCTGATTATAGCGAGGCTGGGGGGGGGGGGAGAGAGCTCTTTGTGCCAGTCCATTTGCTCATTTCCCCACTTGCCTCCTGTGGGTTGCTCTGTCTTCCTACTAGGGAGCACTTCAGACTGAGGCAGGCATGTCCCTCTTCCTATTCCCTCAAACGGGCTTTTGCCAGCCCTTGACTTCCGTGGACCACTGCATGGAATGCGCCTGAAGGAAACTGGCCTGGCCTTGACAGCTGGGGTCTAGGCTGCGCATGGAAGGCAAGGGGCAGGGTACCAAAAAGGGCCTCGGAGGGAAGTTCAGTGGCTCCCTCCGGAGGATGAGCGGCTCCTTCAAACGCACTTCGCTGAAGGGCTCGGCATCAGGATCCCAGAAGGTAAGCCGGTAAAATTTCCGAGTGATCCGAGAGGGAGAGCAAGGGCTCCCATGATGAGCTGAGTCGAGCTGGTGGGCAGACTTGGTAGCAGGCATTGCAGTAGAGACATACAAAACAGGACAATGGTGTTGTGTTGCTATATCGTGCCAAGGTTAGAATTTGGACCTGTTAAGTGGGCTCTGAAGGTGATGGCTCTTCCTTCTGGCCACAGCTTTGTGTTATGAAACTGAGCTCCATGTGTGCAAGGAAACCTCACCATTCATTTCAGTGGAGGAAAGAGAGCTTTTAAACCCTAACCAGCTTGGGACCTGCGTACGCAAAGGACCACCTTCTCTCCCAAATCTGAGACCTGCTTTGGAAGTTCTCCAAGTTAGGGGGTGATGACTCGGGCAAGGGATTTTTATGATAGCTGTGGAGTGCTGTCCCCAGAGAGGTTCAGCTGGGAGCAACACCTCTGTCATCTAGGAAACAAGTTCAGGCCTTTTTGTTATCTGCAGCTTTTAATGAGGAATTGGTGGCTACTAATTTTATTGTCTCTCTGTATTTCTGTATTATTTTATTGGTTTTTCTTTAAAGTTGAAGCTACTGCAAACTCTTTCAGAGCTATTTTAATAATAATAATAATAATAATAATAATAATAATAATAATAATGCAATGCAATGCAATGCATGAACCCCACTAAACCTATAGAGCTATCCACTTCATTGAAACAAATGGGGGAACCTTTGTTCATGGGGAATTTTGTGCACACTGAAATTCTCACTCCTGCAAGAAATTACTGGGCTGGGTGAGAGAGCAAAGCTGATAGCCATCGTCTGTATCTACAGGAAGCTTTGCTGCTGCTCCCCTTCTCCTCACAGCTGCCTTTGTGACTGGAAGGGACTACAATGGAACCATGCCAGGGAGCACAGTTGATTTCCTGCTTTCAGCAAGGAGGCATTTCATGGGAATATTGATCTGGGACCTTGTGTTGTGTCATCCAGTTAGGAGTAGGCAGAGCTGCTGCATTAATCGAGCCTTGTCCTCATCAAACTTTTGCCTCATAATCTTGGAGGGTGGATACAGCCCTTACCTCCTACCCAACCCCCTCAAAGTGCTCCCATCTGAGATGTGCACATAGGTACACATGGTCATCTGAACAGTGTAACTTGGTCAGCTGAGGGTGGACAGCTGAGTAGCTGAAGGGAAGCAAGGAAAAGCCTTGCAATACGTTTGGGGGCAATGGGGTGTGAGAGCTCTCTTACCCACCTCAGTTAACTGGAAAGCAGTGAGTTACTTAGGACAACCCTTTACACAACAGGGAGGGGACACAAGGAGATAAACAGGGAACCTGCCCCTACCTAATTTGAGTGCTTAAATATTGATGGAAACGGATTATATCTAGATGTGGATATAATGATATGATGCAGAGTTCTGAGTTTTTAGCATTCATTTTCAATGTCATTCAGAATTAAATCACCTTGGT